TCTCTTTGGAGTGTCTCCTCCTATTAAAAAAAAAGTACATTTCATATTAAATTTGGACTTTATTCCTTCATCTCCCCTTACCTAGAAGAGTTGTGTGATTAGTCTGTCATTATTTCTTCACTTGGCCTATTAAGAGATATTACCCTGTACGCTATTGGTTTGTGAAATTGTTAAAAACTCCCACAGCAAACCTGTGCTAAATAAATTGCTGACAAAGATACACTCAGTTTCTGGAGCATAATTTTGTTGTCTCCCACCAAAATAAAAACAAAACAATTGGACAGTGCTGGGCAAGGTGTGTATATTCCCCGTGTGTATAACCCAGTGTGCGCTTCCGGGAGCGTGAGGATTGCAAGAATAATAAGTAGGCATGGAATCACGGGTCATGTAACAGCCTCTTCAGTGATCACAACTTCTTTGCTACAGAAAGTAAAAAAGAAGAAGGCAGGAAAAAAGGAGAGCTTGCGAAATATATGTGGACACAAAGAACATCTGCCCAAAAGCTGCCTAAATTATTTCTTTGTTTGCTGACAGAAGCAACATTTTTCAAACTTAAAAGAGGGATAAAGACCACAGAAATCTCCAGTCCTTGCTATTCCTCCTCCGCTGGCGAGGAAGAACCTGCCTGCCCCCCACTGGGGACACCTGTGGGACGGAAGGCTGCCTGGCCTAGCTGGCGCTCATTAACATTCCTGGTGTGGAGGGCTGGGGCAAAGCTGCTCTGAGGGGGGGCGCAGAGTTGTGGGAGTCATTTGCTTCTGGAGAGATTGCAAAAGGGAAGTTTCTTCAAGTGCAGACTCTCAGGCCCAATTAAAGTGAGTATGGAGACAGACTACAAAGGGAGGTGTATGGTCAGCGCTGGCCGTCATAGCAGAACACCATAGACTTGGTGGCTTAAAGAACAGAAATTTATTTCTCACAGCTCTGGAGAGTGGAAGTCCAGGATCAGGGAGTCGCAAGGGTCAAGTTCCGGTGAGCTCCTTCCTTCTGGCTTATAGATGGCCACCTCCTTGTCCTCACATGCTGGAGAGAGGAAACTCGGATGCCTCTTTCCCTCATAAGGGCACTCATCCTATCGTGGGGGCTTCCCCTCATGACCTCGTGTAAACCTAATTACTTAGGAAAGTTACCACTTCCAAATTCTATCACATTGAGATTTAGGGCTTCAGTCTATGAATTTTAGCAGGATAGGAGGTTGGGGGCTGAGGGGGGAGACATGTGCACCCACAGACACACACACAGCATTCAGTCCATAACAGGGGGGCTGCCTTCCTATCTTGAGCTTTAATTATCTCATTTTGGTGAACTGGAGTTCTTACTATGTTTTCTCTGTGTACACATTCAGTGGCCTTTTCCTCCTCATTTTTTTTAAGCAATATAAAATTGAAGGCTCTTATTTTTCACAAAAGTAATTGCCAGGTGCTTTTAAGGATTTGTATTGAAGTTTTTACCAGTAAGATTTTATCATTCAACTTATACCAGCGACCAAAAAAAAAAAAAAAAAAAAAAAAAAACCATTGGTAAATAGAAGCAAAGAAAAATAAAGTTGACAATGAAATACTGATTAATTTGATTAACAGTTACTATTTTTTAAGTAAATTAATAGAAATGTGCCTGGTTTTTTCTCAACCCCTGAATGTTTATTTCTGAAAAAAATACTTGCTGTCTTTTTTGTTTCTGACAAATGTGAGTATCTGAAATTTGGAAATTCTGGTTATCTTAAGTGACAGTGAGCGATTACTAGATAATGGAATAATAAAAATAATCCCTGAAATTTTTATGGTGCCTTCTAGTTCATGTTATTTATAAAGTGCTGTTTTTTGAAACCTTCTAGACAGACCTAATGAAAACCCTCAGGCTCAGAAGTTTGAGGGCAAAGCCAAATAGCAATCAGCCAAGACAATTCCTACCTCTGACTGGAGTTCCATTAGTTGTGTTAGAATGCAGTTGAATCTCCTGATTTATTAGGAGAATTATTAGGAGTAGAAAACAAAAAAGTAGAATGTATGGTCAATACAGGAAAAGGGAATCTTTCATAAGTGACTTAGTAAACGAAAATGAAAAAAGAGTTTGAGGCACTTACCATCTCAAGCTCTTCTTGAGTTTTTGATCCTGAATTTGGGAAAGAACAAGCATTATGCTTGGCTAGGGGGGCCATAGTGATTGAAAGGGGTCAGTAATTTATCCAGTCCTAACAAACGGATTTCTTTTTACATCTCTAAACAGAGCAATTGACTTTAATTGGCATTGCTAAAAGGGAAAAGCCAACCAGTATGTTTATTCATGTATTCATGAAATATTTATTGAGTATTTATTAAGTTCTGGAGAACAAACGGACAAGAATCTTTGCCATCATGGAAGTTAAATGCTGGTGGGGGAGAGGTTTCTATTTCATTGTAGGCATTGTTCTGGGTACTTTATATATGTTCTCTCAGGAGCCCCATGGCAACCTATGACATTATCATTATTTTCCAATTTAAAGTTGGAGAAACTGAGTCTCGATAAGTTGCTGAAGATTGCACAGCTAGTAAGCAATGGGAAAGGTCATTAAAAATTGTTCTGTCTGCTCTTCATTCCATAGCTCCACTGCAACCCTCTCTCCCACGGCCACACTCTTGACAAGAAAACTGTATCAAATGTCAGCATTTCACAATATGAGACCCTGTACCTTTGCTCATCATTTAGTTGCTCTTTTCTAAGGCAGTCATTTTGTAGTGTTAGGCTTGGTTATGTCTGCAAAAGAAATTACATCTGATATGTTTAGTCTGGTCTGGAAGCACGGCGGACTGCTTCCCCTCTGTAACAACAGGAAGATTCTTAACGGGCGCCACCTTCTGAATGGAGATTCTGATCGGCAAGTGCCTCTTTAATAGTGTAGCCTGTGTAATAGCGAAGGACAGCCAGTTCCAATCAGGCAGTGTCTGCCAGGGTTGATGTTGTCAGGGATGCTGTAGAACCATATCGATTTGGGGAAGGAATAGAATTCAGGAGATGACATCAAGAGGAATAAAAAAGGTGAAAAGGAGGCAAGTCCGTTTTACACATTAGTGATCAGCTACAGGGAGACATTCTGCAAAGTGACTATCAGCAGCAGCCTGTCACTAGGCTTTGTCCTCGCAGGTCAGAGCTGTTACCTGCCAAGTTGTATAGACTCCATTTTTCCTATCAGATGCAGATTTGATTACATCTGGCCCTACAGAAGAGAGTGAAATCATATTTAGTATGTGTTCATCCAGACCTCAGGCTAGAAGCTGGGAGATTATGCATTGCCGGTATGAGTTTCGCACTGTTTTTAAGACTTCCTATGATGGAGTCATCAGATAATTTGTTTTCTATTTCCTCTTCAGGGAGGTGTGAGATTTTAGTGCAGTGACGAAGAACGGGGGCTCTGTAGCCCGGTGGCCTTGCTGCAGGTCTCTCCCTAGATATGAAGCCTTGGACTGATGACTTAGTCTCGCATTGCCTCAGTTTCCTCATCTGTAAGCTGGGGATGGCAGTCGAACCTACTTGATAGAATTTTTATGAGTAAAGCACTTGGACGTGCACCTGGCCCATGGTCAGTGCTGTGCGCATTAGATGGAGGATTATTATTATGGTTGTGGATGTTGTTATTACTATTACAGATATATGATTGTGTTTTCATGACTTGGTCATTATTATCTTGTTGACATCACATGGGCAGATGAGCAGAGCACTTACTTTTATATTTTTAGTACTTTGCCTAGGAATTCTGACAAATTTGTATCACCCATAAAAATCTTGTGAATTTAATAAAACATTGCATGTGGTAGTTAAGCAGGCACTTAGGACAAGGTATTTGGAGCCCTAGCCAGTTAAGGCTGCTATAACAAAAATACCACAGACTGGGTGGCTTTGGCAACAGATATTTATTTCTCACAGTCTGGAGGCTGGAAGCCCAAAGTCAAGGTACCAGCAGATTGGTGTCCGGTGATTTGCAGGCGGCCACCTTCTGGCTCCGTCTTTACATGGCCAAGACAGAGAACACCTCTCTTGTGACTCTTCTTTGAAGGGTCCTAATCCCACTTTTGAGGGTTCTACCTGCATGACCTAAATTACCTCCTAAAGTCCACACCCCCTAATACCTTCACATCAGGGATTATTGGGATTTCCATGTACAAATTTGGGGGGCACAGCATTCAGCCCACAGCGCCTGATAAGAGGCACCACAGAAACAGCACAGGCCATGCTGGGGCTCGCATCACAGGCTGAGGAAGACCTAAGGGGTACGCCCCCCTCCTCCATGCCTGATTCTTCAGGCGCCTTCCTGTGTTTGCCCTCCCTCTTGCTGGCAGTCCCGAGCCAGTGCACCTGCTGCGGCTCATGTTGGGGGGGCGGGGTCACTCTCAGCAGGTCAGGTGATTTGGACCTGGAACCTGGTCGAGACGTGCATTGTTAGTTGCAGATACGCAGCGCCACTACAGGAGATCAGCCCCATAACTTCAGCTCTTTGTCATGTGCAGTCAGAGACGAAGAAGCATGTTACAGGGGAGCCACTAATTTCTGTTTCCTTTGTTTTTCCTTGACACAGTTGCCACATTCCTTTTATTTTTCTCTTTTATAAGTAACCCTAAATCGGGTAACCATGTCACTGAAACTTAAAATGAAACTATGTTGGACTTAATTTTAACAACCAAAGAATAAGAAAGAAAAGGAAATGTCATCACCACTGTGTATCAGCCGTTTCACAAAATGAGCCGAGGAGCGAGGGGCGCTAATTTTGCCGTGGGTAAAGAGGAGTTCCCGGGGAGTGGGTCGCAGTATTCCCGCCTGTCCCCGTAGAGCAACAGCATGGAAAAATAAACTATCGTTTTTTACTGGCTCGTTCCGTAGATGATTGAGGCATTTCGGTGCACTATCAGGAAAATGATAGGTTACTTTCAGAGCGGTAGAAGTTTAACAAATGCTTAGTCATTCACTACCTCATTACTGCCGTTGGTGGGAGCTTTACTGTATGGTGTTTTCTTCCTTTCTCTGTCTCTCTCTCTTTTGAACACTGCACGAATTGGCACGCCATCCTTGCACAGGGGCCGTGCTAAACTTCTGTGTGTCGTTCCAATTTTAGTATATGTGCCGCCAAAGCAAGCGCGCTTGCTTCTCTCTCATTGCCATATTCTTTTCAATCTGCCTGCATTGGGCCACAAAGCAGATTTCAATTTGCTACCTGTGGAGCCAGATTGCAATGCTCAGACTGAAATAAGAGAGAAATGGCTTTGGTGAAATTTAGAGAGTTTCGTGAATTTCTGTAGAAGGATGCGCAAACTGAAGCCCCCTGGTAAGATACACATGGTCACTTTGGTGTCATGGTATTAAGCAATTCATGGATATTTTATATGGAAAATAGCTTCAGCCAGATACTGATGAGACCTCCTGCATTTTGTGGAACTCAGACACTTTCAGCCTGGGGCGCACTCGCCTTAGCAAGCGCCTCTCCGCCAGCCCTCAGATGCCTTTAACACTGTGCTTGTCGGGCTGCTCTTAAGAAAGCTCAGCTAGTAAAGAAAATAAAGTCCAAGTTATTTTCTGGACTAATCAGACTGAAGAGAAAGATTTTTATTCCACAGATAGGAGAGGTTTTCTCTCTTCTGCAGTTCAAAGGGAAGATAACTTGAGGACAAGATAACTCGGGAGGAGCGAAGAGCGAATAGAGTCACAGCAGCAGCCGGAGCCTTGGCTTCACGCTCCTGGAGCCCTCCCCACGCCTGGACTTCTCGTTATATGAGAAACAGATCCTCTTACTGCTGAGCTCCCTCGCTGCGGAGAGCGTATGAACAGATGACGGATCGCCTTGGGCGTTTGCATTGAACAGTCCGTGTTATATGTTCACATGTATGGTGTCCCTTTGGAAAATAATTCTGTAGACCATCAAGCACCACCCCCATTTTGCGAGAGTGGAAACAAAGGCTGCTGGCGGTGAAGCGGCCTGTGTTGGGCTCAGCCAGGATGGACATCCTCGCCTTTGGAACTGAACTCTTAGGAGTTCATTGTTCCCGTTTATATCATAATCACTGTCACAATTTAGTAGAAATAATACTGGACTGCAAAGGACCAGTTAACTCTGGACTTTAGCCTCTGCCCTTCACTACAGGACCTTGTGAGAGGCATCCCGTATCTGGGCCTCATTTTCTCTTTGATATAATGAGGTGAGTTGTATCTGTTGATCTCCAAATTTTCTTGTATAAATTTGCTGATTTCCATTAATGATTTTCTCCATTTTTGTCTTACCTTCTTTTTGCTCCAAGTCATCATGATCTTCACAAAAGAGCAGCGGTTCTGTACTAGGTTGTATAAATAGAGGGGAACGAGAAGGCGGAGAGTAGTGACTGAGGGTATCTTTGTACGGAGTGTTCTAGGCTTCGGGATGCCCAGCCGGATATTGTGGGCCTTCGGGGTTCTCATCGTCCCCTCATTTCCTGTTGCCACCACTGAACACACCCAGTTGGAAATGTAGACAACACACATGGATCTTTGCTACTTGCTCTCCCTGCTGACCCTGAAGTAGACATTAAAGCCTTTTAATGTTTTCTAATGATTTGGGGGGGCGGGGTGATATTGGGAATTCAACAAACAGGAAAGATCCCAGGTTAAAAACTAAGTTAAAAGTTAGAATAATTTAGTCTTAAACATAAAGGTTCCTTTATTTTGAGTGACCATAGAGGCTTTAAAATTTTTTAGTCTTATCCCTGCTCTTCTTTTGTGTTTTTCTCTTAATTCCTAAGCTGCTTCTTAGGGCCTTTCTGTCCTGATTAACTGTGATGATTCAAAGATGATCTTTTCTACCTCCTCTGCATGTTATGTGTTGTTTCACCAGACATTGTTTGTTTTCTCTTTACTGTTAGGGGCATTCGGGGAGGGGGGGAAGGGGAGGGTGCCAGGGTGCCGGTGCCCTTCATTATTTCACTTGCGGGGGGGAGGGGTATTTTTAGTACAGGCTCTTGAAACTAGGCAGTTAACATCTCATTGTAACTCTTGCTCTAGAAAGCATGTTTCTTCACAGGAAAGTTACTGTCAAATAGTCATGTTATTCCTGTTCAAATGGCAAGAACCGTTTACAGATGATGCATAATCATTAAAGCAATTACCTTGGCCTTGAGTTATGTAGAGAGCATACCATATCCCAATAAAGAATTTTTTCCCTGTTTCTTAAGCATATTACAGACAAGTTCTCAAAAGACTGTATCTTATTTTATTGCCCTTAGATGTATTTGTTCTATCATGATACCTGGTAATTTTTTTTTTCCTAGAGGCAGTCCCCTCATTTAGTGACTCATTCAGCAAATGTTTGTTGAACACTTACTGTGTGCAGAGCGCTGCAAAGTACGGGGGATGTGAAACCCTGAAAAAGTTGACAGGGGGCTTTTGGCACAGCAGGAAAAAAATCGAACAAGTCATTGCGAGGGCTTGGGATAGAGCTGAAATGCCTGTGCGCAGGAGAGGCTCTTGTGTGAACACAACCTGTTTAGCAATATGGACTTGGAAAATTCCAGAGAGGAGAGCTCTGCTTCAGAAGGACCGGTGAGAGAAATTCTCCCTGTCTGCAGTCTAAGGGTCCACTTTTCACATCTGACCTTGCCTATTAGACATGAAGACTTAAAGTGATTTTTAATGTAGATCTGGTCTCCTGTCATGAAATATAAAAATGAAAAGGCCCTCAAAATTGGAGCTTTCTTCTAGAGTATTTTTGTCATTAAAGAGCTTGTTTTACATTAATTTAAAAAAAATTTAAAAGTATGTTTCTGCAATTGGCGATAATTCACAGCTGCTCTGTGTTCCTTAGACTTAACATCTAAACAAAGAAACAAGAAGTTTTTTTCATTCAATGCCATGTTTAAAGTCTTGTTAGCAAGTACGTCCATCTGATATTTCCCAAAGGTTCAGATTTAGCTCCTAAGGGAAAAAAGGGGCGGGGGGAGGGTGAGGAGGAGCAGACGGAGATGAACTGTTGGAACTTCTGCAAGGTTCGCTGCTCCTTCTTATCCTTTCGTGTGGCTACTGCCAAAGAATGAAATCAGTGAAATTGCCCTTTTGTGTGTAATTCAAGGTTAATAACTGGTGAAAGAACTTCTGGTCATTATGTGAGCTTTATAATTCTAAAAATGATAAGAATCATCTCCTTTTAAATTAGTATTCATTTAATAACCAAAGAATCAGTGCGTTTCTCTCATTGGGCTATAGACAGTTGCTCCTTTTCGTCTGGTTCGTTCATAAAGGCCCTGCAGGGATGTGGCTGTTCTGCCTGGGGGCTCCCTACTTCCTCCCCACTCTCCCCCCGCCCCCCCGCCTGTGAAGCTCCCCATGATCTGCTCCCCTCCCTGCTCTATAATTTAGTTACAATACATCACTGCACATTTACCTTTCGGCCGTATTATAAGCTCCTCGTGCCAGCACAGAATCCGTGTAAACCCATTGCCCACCCAGCACAGTGCTTGGCATGTGGCAGGCACTCAGAATATCTAATGAAGGGATGAAATGTGGCCTGAAGAACAAAATATATGTACCCGTATACCCACATGCAGCCAGACAGTACGCATCCCGTGCCTGTGGTGCACAGGGTTGCCTCTGGCCAGTTAAGGGTACTGAATATGTGGGGCCTCGGCCCTTCCTTTGAGAAGCCTACAGCTTTCATTAGAATCAAAATGCATATTTGAAAGAAAAAATATCGTAATTAATGGTGGTATGTATCAAAGATATGCTTTGTTGAAGGGCCAAAGGATAACCTCGGCTATTGTTAGAGGCCCCGGGACCGCCCTTCACTAAGAACCAGGGACTTATTCACAGAAGAAATGGAACTTTGGCTCAACTTTGAAGGTGCGGGTAAGATTTAGACCAAGATGTCATGCAGCTGTGCTCAGTCGTCCCACCTAGGTCTCCATTCATCGTGTGCCAGGCTGGCCATGCAGCTTCACCCAGCACAGGTTAAGGAATAGGTTCTACTAGGAAAAAGGAAAACTCACAGGCTACGTCAGCAAGAGAAAGAAGGCACGTTGCCCCCCAGCTCTCCCGTCACCGTCAGCCCAAAGAGAGGTACACTGGGGTCTGATGCAGCCTGCAGTGCGCATTTCGGCCCCCCTGTTATCCGGCCTTAGCAGGGTGCGAGAATGAGACAGCACCCTTGTCCCTGCGGCACCTGGGCTGCTTCGAACCAGGCAATTCGGTTTGGTGCCCCAGCTGCCTGCAGAAGTTGCCTGTGAATGCCGCTGCCTGCGATCTAGACACGGCCCGCCCCATGGCAAGTTCCAGCTTCCCCTTCTGCGGGAGGAAGCTGGCAGCCTATGGATGACTGACCTTGGGTACAGTCCGTCTGGCTGAGCGAAAGGTGTTCGCCTGCCGCAAAGCGCTCGGCTTACCCGCAACACTTAGTGAGCCCTGGGGTCGTTGTCAGTTAGTCCTGCTTGTTGCAGTGCAGTGGCTGAGAGCTTGGGCCCTGGAAATAGAGAGTTCTAGTCCCAGCTCGCCCACTTCTTGGCTCTGTGGCCAGAGGGCCTTACCTTCTCTCAGCCTCAATATCCTGAGATGCAAAATTAGGACAGTACTAATTTATTCTTCATAGGAACGTAGTGAGGATTAAGTAAAGTGGACATTTAGTACATGTGTTCAGCGAACATTAGCTGAAAAGGAAGGAAAATGATCCTCCAAGAAAGGGAATAGTGAAATTCGGAAAGATATATGCACCCCTATGTTCATTGTTCACAAGAGCCAGGATATGGAAACAATTAAATGCCCATCAGCGGGTGAATGGATAAAGAAGGCATTATATATCATACAGTGGAATGCTATTCATTGATTTAAAAAAGCAGTGAAATCTTACAATTTTCAGCAACACGGATGGACCTTGAGGATATTATGCTAAAGGAAGTAGGTCAGACAGAAAAAGACAAATATGCATTCACTCATGTGTGGAATATTAAAAAATAAAAAAAACAGAACAACTACAAAAAAATAAACAGTCTGTTTATTTTTTGTTTTTAAAAAATAAACAAAAAATAATCTGCCTGTCGTCACAGGAGACAGGCAGCGGAGGGAGGGCGAAGAGGGTGAGGGCCCACTGCGCGGACGCTGGAGACCAGGCTTTTGGTGGCGAGCGTGATG